AGTGAAATCATCATCGTAAACTGATGCATCCAAAACTAGGACATTTTGAAAATGTTAATGATGTTTAATGCACTGAAATAATGAGAAGTAAATGAGGGTCAAAAAAAAAAAAAACCCCACCAAACCAGCAAGTCACATTAAGCTATCCATAAGTCTAAACAACCAGAGAAACTGAAAACTAAAAATAACTTGCCACTTCATTTTTCTAAAGCTGTGATAAAATAAGGCACGGAGTTTTCTAGAGCTTCTCAGACAAGTTAAAATAATTTAGTATTGTTGAAGAAGAAACTGCTGCTACAAGGGATAAAATATCAGTATGGCTCTGTATCATTAAATATGCTCTACTAACTGTTGGAGTTAAAACTCCTCGAGATGAAAAAACAAACTGAATACACAGAACATATTTATAAGAGAAAATCGTTCCACTCACTCTTAAAATTGTTCACATACATACAGAGAAATATTAAGAGCAAACTGAGTGTGTTATTTAACTTTCTTTCACAGAGTGAAGAAATAATCTAACATTATGTATTTTAATTTACTTCCAACACCTAAACTCTTCATTTGTCTCTCTACTGGAGGACACTGAAAGGCTATTTATGGACTTCAGCCAAAGCCTTTGCACCTAGCTGCCAGTTCCAACTCAGACTCCAGTAGGCCTTTCCTACAAACAAGGTGAGAAAGCTCATTGTCCTGGAAGAGGGAAAATTTTAAAGGAGTAACAGATATTTTAGCACCCTTATTTTCAGTTTACGGGAACGAGTTTACTAAGTGTTAAGGCTGATCTCCTCCCACATTAATGCTCATTTCTCTGCTTGTTGTAGTCACTTCCTAGCTATGAAAAAAACCAAGTTATTTTTCATGAGCTGTTTTATTGGATTCATGTCCATAAAATAGTTTTGTCTCCCACATCGTTGCTTTATAAAGATGTATCAGTGATGACTGGATTAAATCCAGAGCTGATAAAAAGTCTGAGAAAAATGCGTCAGAAATAAACTAGCATCAAAGCTTCAACGGCCATCTTTAAATTGCCTACAGATGCAAATATCTATTTTATTCCTAAATCCCAAAGGTTAACTCTTGCTGCACAACCTGAGTGATTATGCACATGACCCACTCTAATGCTCTGTATGCATACTCTGGAGATGCATTTTCAAGTATCTAAATATCTCTATAAATCTTGCCTTTAGATGCCTAAAACATGCTAGTAACCCACAGTTAATGCCATTCATTAACTCTCCCAGTTTGGGTTGGTTTTTTTTTAATATTCCTCTAGCTTTACTTTCTTATGCTTCTAAACACAGAAACCAAAACCAAGACAAGTTCTTAGAAGGAGAGGAGCAGATGGCAGGCAACAAGAATCTCACATACCTCTGGTTGTGCATACCTTTGAACACTTCATTGAGAAGGTTTCCTTGGGAGGATAACATTCTGTGGGTGGGCCAAAATATTCCCGTACTGTTCCTGAGGTTTTAGAGTAAGGGTCTGAGCAAGCAGTAGAAGTCCTTAAGTACTGGCCATCTCGGATGTCTTCTGTTGATCTACAATAGAGTAAACGACTAATGTGTATTAATTAGATCATGCTCTCTCCTGAATATTAGAACATGAGAAACTGGCAGACACTGCTGTTAGTGGAACCAGCTAGCCTTCTTCACAGGTATGTGATCTTTTTTGCTTGCGTGTTTTGAAAGCAAATATCCAAAATATTTGCATATATCCATGTTCACAAGGATATTGGCACTTGATCATTGTTATTTTGGAAAACTATGTACTCACTGAGTAGGCTGGCTGAATTGTTTAGGTTACTTGCTAAAGGTAGCAAGGAGGAGGGTGCGGGGAGAGTTCCTGTTCCCATAAAAATGAGTAACAGCTTTTTCATGAAAACAAAACATTTTTAGCTAGTCCATAGCAGCCCAGAGAATAAAAATGAGAAATATTTTCACATAATAAATGTGTAAAGTAGCACAACTATTTTGTGGGTGTTTTGTCAAGTTTGTACTTCCAATTACTGTGTCTCACAAAGATGCCTTTTAAAAGAATGAAAGCTATTAAAAGAAACAGATAAAGATTTTAAAGCGGGGGGGGAAATGCCTATTCAAATATTTCTCTTTTTTTCTTTTGCAGTCTTTGATGATATTGGAAGAGGAATCTAAAATCGACCCCCAAAAAATCAATTTCTCCTGTCTCCTATTAGACTTTTCATTTGTATACTTCAGAATGGAATTGTCCACTTTGCTGCAACGACATACAGCTCCACACCTGAAGCCTGATGATTTTTAAGGTTGGTGAGATTTAGATTATTCTACAGGAAAAGCACAATTTGCCCTTTTTTAACTGGGCTAACACTCAGGTTAAAAGAAACATTGGCTGTAAATTGTTTTGTAAGTGTCTGGTCTAATCTAAATGTTCTCCCTCATCTGAAGGAGAACTGGAGCCTGCCTTTTTCAAGGTACAGCTGGATGACTTTGTTACTAAAGGGTATTTTAAGTCTCATTCAGCATTATTTTTATTTATAAATTCTTCTTCCTATTCAGTTTTTATCTTGAATTTCTTATCCACAGATCAGCATTTTCAACTGTAGTTTTGTTTCCTAGTATCACTGCACTTCACTAAGGTTTATCTTCATCCAGTTCCAGGTTCAACTTAGAAATAGTTTCTCATTCATCCACATTAAATCATGTTCTTTGTAGTTTTTACTTTTTAATTAAGGCATTCAATAACAAGACCAATGCTAACATCTCCACATGTAGTTGCCAACATCTCTATTTGGCTGAAACATTTCTGATTTTTCTGACCTTTGTCCTGTGTCTTGTGCAACCACCAAAGCATCCTGCGCAGCTGCGTCACATAAATTAAATAAGCTGTGTGATTTATAAGACGTCCAGCTAACTTGAAAGCAATCCCTTTGGTACTTCTGATGCAGCTGCTTCTCTCTATTGTATCCTGCTACTTGCCAGAAAACAAAACAAAAAACCAAAACAAAAACCCCCTAATGTTCAGCAACAGCGCACAATTAGGAAAAAAAAAAAATTCTTTCTTTTAGATGCTTTTTTTCTCACAATGGCCTATTCTGGCCACCTTCGCTCCTGTTTTCCTTCAGGACTTTCCAGTTCAGGATAATGCAACTCTTTCTCCTCAGCAATGAGAGGAAGCTTGCTATAGGAGTTTCAGACAGAAATGCGTTTGGAAAGAAAATTACTCTGGCTGGAAAGTCTTGCTTGTAATGGATGAAAGCATTAGGCACCCAAATTACAGTTTCCATGAAACTCTTCCCATCTATTCCATTACAGTATCCGTAGGTCTTTTGGTCCATCAGCCTAAGTCTTCACCAAAATACTGAAATATCCTTACAAAAGCAGCTGGTTTTGTCCTAAGAGCTAAGCAGGGGAAATGCTGTTAGGTTAAGCCAAACTCCATCAAAACAACTGATGGAAAAGTTTTTCAATCAGTTGTAGCAAGGGCTGGTGCCCCCCAGATTCTTGGCTTCACTCTAAGAATTATCTCCATGGCTATTACAGAGCTGTAGCTGCCGCTTCCCTTTCTCTAATCCCCGGTGGACACAGGGATGGTCTGTTGGCCTTTACAGTCCTTCCACCAATTTTCAGTCTACGTGTCCAGTCATTTAAAACTAACAGCAAAAACAAGAAGTCCAGAGAAGCGCTTTACTAAGAAGTGGTGGTGTAATTTATAGCTATCCTTTCACACATTGCTTTTATTATGCTATATATGAAAAAACCCCACCCAACCTTTTTTTTTTCTTCTCTCTGCAGTGCAGTTAATGCATTCCTGGCATTTGTGGCTCTCACTTCTAATATGTTCAGGATAATTTAACTATATCCCCTCCTGATTTCTGCTTTTGTGAAGGACAGTCATTCAGCGTCTGAGGGTGATTCTTAGGCTGACCTTTTGTTCCCATTTCTCTCCAATTTTTTGTGATTTGAGAGAGAGAGAAGAAAAATTCATTAGCTGTTTTCATAATACAGTAGGATTACCACCATCCAAATGTTTTACATTTAGCCATAAGTAGTCCTTCTAGTAAACACAGTGCTCTTTACTACTGCTTTTATTCTCATCCTGTTTTTCTTGCTAAAATGTGTATTATCATGGAGTACTTCAGTACTTCAGCTTTTCAATAATCTTAACTATATTTATTTCCTCTCCCTCTTTGCCTCTATTCTTAAATTGACCTACAGTCATGCCCCCAGAGACTAAACAGGGGTGATGAACACGTTACTGCCAAGGCCAATCTGCCAGTGTTGTTTAGAGCTACGGACCTCTCTCTTACAATGCAGTCACTGGCATGCACTCAAAGGAAAACAGCCTAAGCTCACTTCTAGCATGCTGTAGGTTAGCCAGGCTGAAAGGAGAAGTGTAATATCCTAAGAGTTTATTTGTCACTCAAAACCTTCTATTAGTTGATTTGCTCATTGTGCTGATAGGGTCTGACCCACTATCAAGTGCTGCAAACTGCCTTAGACACTTAAATAATTAGCCATTTATTGACTGCAACTACTGAAATTAATTTTGTTTTGGATTAATATGAACTTGTTCACAGCTGAACTAAAGCAACCTCAGAGTTCAGAAAGTCCCTGTGCCGGTCTCGGTCATGTCACATTCTCATTTAAGCAATGCATATTTGGCAAGCCATGGCTTGCTGTCACCTGCTGACCAGCCTCTTCAGGAACTGTACTAAGACACACGGCCACACTTCACCCACTTGTGACCCAACTTGATCCAGATAACCCCAGGAAATTCATATCTCTGCCTGTGTCACGCAGCCTATCTTTCTGCCCCCTCTTGAATTCAGTGCAAAGAAAAAGGTTAAATTTCTAAGTGTAAAATAGTGATTCCAAATGTGGCATGTTCATGCTTCATGATTTCAAGGCTAAGTAAATGCTTTCTTTACTATTCTAATATGAAGGTATTTAAAAGCAAACAATAAAGATGACAGACATTATAGACCTGTTGTGATATGTTTCTTTAATGTGATAAAGACATACCTTGCATTGCATGGGTCTGGTTTTCTCGCTCTTCTGCTTTCCTTGTATCTATCAGATCCATGGCTCTCATTGTGCCTGTATTGCTTATCTTGGTATCGTCTACCGGCATGAGACATCTTGTTTCTTACAGGTATTCGTTCTTTCTAAAATAACTTCCTGAGCCAGAGAAATAACACTGGTTCATTTCATAGCTCTACTTAAAGTTATTCATTGACCAGCACTCACATCCATTTCATGCTGATCCAAGATTTAGTGCAGACTTCCTTAACGAGCGAAGGAAGTAAAAGCCCTTTAAACTACAAGTAAGGTAACTTCATTGAAGAAGGAAGTTTTTCTTTACATTTTCGTATTCACCGAGTTACTGTCATGTTTCTATATTCAACACTTACTGCGCTTAGCTTATTTACTAGGTCTGCTCTGACTCTCCTACCTTTGTTGCAAGGAGAAGGCGTGACGTCCACCAAGAACACGAATCTTGGCTTCTCTAATGTTGTCTCTTACATAAAGTATTACGAAGAATATATTTATAATTATTATAAAATTAAGAACCCAGCGAACACCAGTGCGTTGCATGAGCGTGCATGCAACTGCCGGTGGCGGCAGGGCAAACCTGAAAGCGCGGGCTGTGAACTTTGTCCCGGGAGTTTCTAAGAGGAGGGCACCCATCCGTGTAAACAGATGCAGTACCAAACGTCACCTGTGATTTGGACAAAAGTTAGGTAAGGGGAAAGCTGTGCTGGGCCGAAAAGAAGTCAGCGAGAAGATACATCCTTGATAATTTGGTATTGAGAAGATGTATCCTTGATAATTTGGTATTGAGAAGATGTATCCTTGATAATTTGGTATTGAGAAGATACATCCTTGATAATTTGGTATTGAGAAGATGTATCCTTGATAATTTGGTATTGAGAAGATACATCCTTGACAGTTTGGTATTAAATATTACAGGGATGTGATTTCCTGAAAATGTCTTTACCCTTTCAAGCGCAGCACACTTAAGCCCAAACCTGTAAAATACAGGAACGCAGAGTTTAAGCACCTAAGCAACCTTTATTCTCGTTTCCCTTCATCACAGCCCTTCAGCATTACTGCAGAAGGTGCCCGCAGTCGATTTAAATTTTGACTGATCAAGCTGAAGACTCGCTTAGTGACTTCCCTTCCGTCTCCTTAGGGTGGCACTAAAGAAATAAATTAATTTTTATTTGCGTACGGCTGACAAAGAAAGAGACAGCGCCTTCCTCCGCGGGAGCTCAGCTGCTCCGCCCCGGGCAGAAGCCATTTAGGAAGCAGCGGCCCCGCACCTTTCCCCGCGGGCGGTTTCTGGTGCCGCTCCCCTCGCCTCAGCGCCAGGAGAGCAAAGCCCAAACCCCCTTCACCCCCCGGCAGCGA